TTACTACTACTAATACTATTTCTACTTTTATTACTATTACTACCACTTCTATTACTATTGCTATAGTTATTATTGCTATTGTTGTTACAACATTACAACTATTATTATGGTATGGTTATCGTTAATACTGTTACAACAATTACTATTGCTATAACAACAACAACAACAACAGTTATTACCATTTCTACAATGATGACGACAACATCTCTCAAGATCAATCTTTTAAATAATTATTTTATATGATATGAATTCTTGATTAAATTACTTATTATTCATATTTATAAGTAAAACAATAATTCGATTAGTAAAAGAAGTAAATGGATTTAAATTATTGTTTTAAGAAGGAAACTTTGATAATAAAAGTGCCTGTATTATTTATATAATTTAATAAGAAATAGCAATTATTTAAAGAATAATTCAAAAGTTTGCATAACATTTACGAATATTACTAAAATAATATTTCGCATCAATATGATAACAATTAATTGAATTACTTAAAAAGACGAGAAATGAATGTGTTAGATTTTTAATTAACACTTAATTAATATCTTTTGATTTACCGTACTACCAAGAATTGTTCATATCAAATCAAATGTCTTAAACATAAAGAAATTCCGGTGAGTCAGGATAAATATACGAAATGTATATTTACAGTATTATAGTAATATACGATATATTTATCCTGAAATGTCAACTTTCCAGATTGCTTATTGTTGGTGCAATTTTGGTTAAGCAATAATTAAATATACATTTACTATCAATAAAATTTTTTTGAACGAATTTTATTTATTTAATTTTTTCCTGAATAGATATTAATATTTCAATTATTTATTTTTTGCTTTCCTGAAATGTTTTCCCGAAATTGTCCCATATTTTCTGGTTTATTTTCCGATCATACGTTTTTTTTTTGCTTATTTTTTTAAAAAATGTTGCATTTCCTCTTTTTTTGTTTTAAATAAACAAAATCGTCGTAATTTTTTGATTTCATTATTATTATATAACATATACATTCATCAAGGGTTTTTAAGAGGATTTATTGATTGAAGAGGATTTACACCAGGGGTTTTAAGAATTTTATTGATTTTTTACCAACAATAAATTGGGGGGGAAAAAACTTCAGTTAAATGAAATTAAAAATTTGCCAAAAGATTTATTGCACAATAAGAATATATCATTTCTTTCCATTTTTATAGGTCATTTTTCAACTTCCTTTTTTCCGATTTTCTTTCCAATCCCATTCCGGTTGGTCATTTTCCGGCTTTGTTTTTGTTCTCTTCCCAATTCCATTCTGGTTAATCATTTTTCGACTTTTATCATTTTCCTCCCAATAGTTGCTAGCATTGTCGGATTTGTTTGGTCCATTTTGGCAAAGTATAAATTTTCCTTCTGATTGATTCCTGCAAATGAAAGAAAAGGAAGCGGAAGATAAAGAACAAAGGAAGGAGACCGAGGGGACACAGGTGGTGACAGAGGGGGTCAGAAAAGAGAGAGAGGGAAAAGCCAATGAAACGGTTAGCTCTTAAACATTTATTACTGTCATTTCCGTAAGTTTGAAGTAAATATAATCTATTTTTGACGTTTTCTCCTTCTTCTTATATTGTTCAAAATTTTTGGCACCAATACTTGAAATAAATCTAAAAATTTCCTTTACTTTTTTTTTAAAAAATTTAAAGCTAATTGTAAAATTTTAACTTGATCATAGTGATAGTTTGAAAAAAAAAAGCAGGAAATTTGAATAATTAACAAATTCCGACTATTTTGATTTAAAATATTTTATTGTTTTTTGAATATTTCTGAAGTTTTAAAAATAATTGCTTTTTCAATACCACAAATTATAAAATTTTTAACATTTTTTCTTTTCTCTCCTTTTTTGTTTGTGAATGATAAATTAACTGTTTATATGCTTAAGCTTATAACTAATTAAACAGCTGATTAAATCCATTCAACAAACATTCAAGCATACTTACTATTGCCAATAAATGCTTTCACTTTAACGAAAAAAAAAAAACAATTTTCTGTTAATATTTAAGAAAAAAATTATCTTATTTAAATTTAAATCCTTTGATCGTTTCATACAAATTTCATCAAATCGTTGACGTTTTTCGGTTTTTTTTTCTTTTTGCTATAATTGAGAAAAAAAAAGGTAAAGAGGAAAATCCCAATATGATTTATTCAAAGCCATCAGTTTCATTTAAATCTTTCAAGACTCATACAAAATGAATTTGACACTTGGCTAGAAATAATTGTCCCACGACATCTTCTCCAGCTATTCATCCATCCCGTATAATCTTCAATCTAAAAATCTAAAAATTAGTATCTTGGAAATTTAACTTAACTAAACTTAAATTAATTTAAATCTTTTTTTTGACTAAACTTAAATTAATTTAAATCATTATTATTATTATTATTATTATTATTATTATTATTATTATTATTATTATTATTATTATTATTATTATTATTATTATTATTATTATTATTATTATTATTATTATTATTA